GAAGCTCTAATCTCCTCAACTCAAATTCTCTTTCCTTTTCTCGCTGTTCTGCTTCCGCTTCCAGTCGTAACTTTTCCTTTCTTTCCTCAATCTCCATTTTCCTTACCTCTGCTTCCCTTTCCTTTTCTTGCTGTTCTGCTTCCGCTTCCAGCCGTAACTTTTCCTTTCTTTCCTCAATCTCCATTTTCCTCACCTCTTCTTCTATTTGCATTTTTGTCTTTCTCTCTTCCCTCGCCGCTTGTCTGTCAGCCCGCTGAGAACTCAATTGCTACAAAATAAATTTCCTTTTGTCTTCTCCAGTCATTCACAGTTCATCCGCCCATTCCATCAACTCTTGTTTTGACATATCTTTCATCTCGCTGGCCATGTTGTCTTCTATATGTCTTCACTGTTCCCGGACAAGCCCCCAGATGTCACACGCAATGTAATATTACCGTAATTGGTATAGTACAGGTGTGATGGTTCAAATACCAAAATGGCAACAGTAACAGAAAGACTTCCCTGGCGGCGATGATAAAATACGAACACAGAGCCAACAGATGAGGTTTCAACTGGTACTGGTATTATTATACTCTGCAAACATCAAGTACAATAACGCGGTAAAACTCCACTACTCCAATAACTAGATACTTAAACTCCAATACAATTCAACGAGATCTCCGATCTGAACTCAGTGCTGAACAACTCCCCTATATATACCCACACTGTCTATAAATAGACCATTACATCAGCATACAGTCTGGAACTTACTACCAATTTCGAGAATGTTCCATTACCTTCTATTGCCTCCTACAGTGTTCTATTACCTATTCAACCAGTTTCTAAACAAAATCTAGAATATTCCACCCAGACACAGTACGGTTCTAGAACATTCTCAGTGACACGGAAGTGGTACATAAGTCGTATGCGACAAAGCAGGAGGCGTGTCAACAGCAATACCAGGACCATCTAACAACATATGCAAAAAGGATCTCAACAAAGGCACAACAGAATCTGCTTCTGGGTTTATGTTGAAAGAACCAGAATGACTGCCTTTTGTCCAACATATCTGCCTGTGCCAATGTTCTCATGTCTGTCCGCATGTCCTTCATCTCCTGAAGTGCTTGACTGAGGTCCTCATCAAATACCAAATCCCAGCTACCAGATGGCTTTTGAATTGCCTTGATATCAGGGATATGACTGGTAATATCATTTCGTAGTTGTGTTGTATGGCATTGACTCTGAGGGTACCCAAGATTCTATTGTTAGTGTCCACACCATCACCAATGCCAGCTAACAAATTCTCTACTACTGCAAAGCAAGGCTACTGAGACCACAATATAAAGTATACAAGTTTCAATATTCATGTAGTTGTGTATTAATTCCTCTAGAAATTATTTATCAATGTTTGAGAGTAGTATCTTTGAAGACTTATTGAAATAAAGATAGTTCCCTCTCTAAAGTCTTATTTTAGCTCCGCCGTCAGTCGTCTGTGTTAATGTTACTTTTTCGACTTCTTCTTGAAAACTAAAAGCCTGAATGATTTGATACTTGGTGTATATCTACCTTGGGTATTTGAGACCTCTCTTAGATTTGTTCATTTCATGTTGATTTCTTCAATTCTCTAATATCGGTGAATATATTTATATTTATTGGTAAAAAGTGGTATTGTCGACTTCTTTTAAAAAAAGCAAGTCCTATTGCTTTTATATTACCTATATACGAGGGGCTTTCAATAAGTAATGCCTCTGACCAATTTCCCATAGCCCGTGCTTCTGATCTGGCGACATGCGAGTTGTGGACTGGAGCATTGTCCTGCAGGAGGAGGATACCTTTGCTGCCCCGCCTATTGATTTTGATAGCTTCTCTTAATTTCATCAAAAGTGAAGCATAATAGGCTCCTGTAATTGTGGTACCCTTTGCCAGGAAATCTATCATCACTATTGGTCCTGGTCCCAGAAGACTGTGAGCATGACCTTGCCAGCGGAGGACTTCACCCTTGCCTTCTTTGTAGGCGATGAGTCCAAGTGCTTCCACTGCATTGACTGGGCTTTGGTCTCTGGATCATAGTGATGGTTCCAAGTTTCATCCTGTGTAACCAGTCTTTTGAAAAACTTTGACTCATCTTCTTAGCACATCTCCAAGGGATGTCCTCGTGCACTTGACGCATTCTTGCTTGTGCAAAGGTGTGAGCAACCTGGGAATCCATCTGGCAGACACCTTGTGCATATGCAAATGGTCATGAATGATAGTTTCCACAGACCCTGTACTAATCTTGACCTCTTGGGCTATTTGGCAAACAGTAATGTGTCGATCTTCCAAAATGGCTGCGTCAAATTGACGGATTGATGCCTCATCAATGGCTGAAGAAGGACGACCAGGTCTGGGAGCTGTTTCCACAGACTTCCGACCATGTTTGAATTTACGATGCCAGCGTTTTACAAGGTCATATGATGGGGCATCACCACCATAAGTTTCTTTCATTTCATCAAAAGTCTCCTTTGGTGTGCCTCCTTTCAAATACAAAAAAACAGATCACTGTGCGACACTCAACTGGCTCCATTTCACACCTGACTCAGTTCAAACACCAGTAAATCAGAAACCACAATTAGTTCAGACCTGTTTTTTGCAGAGATGTAAATCATTACACATGCACAATTTCATCTAGATCAGACAACTGGATTAGGGGCATTACTTATTGAACACCCCTCGTATCTCAGCCGGCAGGCTGCTTGTTTATTCCTACATTCACATGGCAATTTGCATGATTTATGCATAGCTTGTACATTATATGCAATTTGGGGGTTATTTAAACAAATACTGAGTAAAATTTAGTTCAGATATCCACCTACTGCCTAATTGGACATCATTCAAAGTAAGACCACTACCCCTGGTATTTTGTGTCTATTTTTTCCCATTAGTGAATTTTGTATTTTGAGGTTCTAATATGCATAATATGCTAATTAGGTGTTATTTACATAGAAACAGTGTGTCTCTTTGGATGAATCTTTTTCTTTTGATACAAAGAACATGTGTGCCAAGTGGGAAGTTTGTACTACTAAATGCAGTGCATAAAAACCTTGACAATTAATAATTTTCATGTACTAATTAGCAGAATTTATGCAAATTAGCTGATTATTTGCATAAATACAAGATTTATTTTGTATGATATTTTTCTGCTTGGTCCATGGATGTTTTATATCAAGCTATAAATATTTTTTAATAATATTTAGAAAATTTTCTTGATAATTTGCATAAATTATGCAAATTAGGCCTTATTTGCCTATGCAGAGTGTCTCTTTGGATGAAAAATGTTCAACTGCTCCAAGGAACTTGTGTGCCAAGTAGGACATTTGTACTAAAAAATGCAACGTTTACCCTCTTAGCAAGTCTATTTATAGCTGTGGAATCATAGCCCTATGTTGCCGACCGCATTATTTACGTGACTGACTCTGGCCGGCCCATGGGGCTATGGGGCCTTGTGCGACTGAATACCGGTTAAAATCCACATGCCAAATTTGGTCGTCGCGAAAATCACATTTTAAGACCTTCGAAAGTACTCACTATGTTTATTTACTTCCAAACAATGACCAGAACCTATTTGCGCTGTGAAATGATGACGGTGGTCATAAAAAATTGACTTTATTTACCGTACACCGAGTCGCAGAAAAATAACAAGACGAAAGACGCCATTTTGGACCACAGAGTTACGCGAGACCTATAGCAAATTACGCGAGACCTATAATTTTGTACCACGTGACCGAAATCAGTAGATAAATTTCGTTTATGCAACTAGTTTCTATTATTAAACAAAAATCATACAATTATAAATACTGTATGTGATTGCTTTGTTGGAACAATTAGAATAACGGGAAGAGTGAGTTTTATTCTTCCACCACTGTATCACATGACCGCCAAACGAGATTACATTTATTCTGCGCTAGGGAGTGTGGGATGTCAATGGCTGTCGTTTTCTCGTAATTTGCTTGGTTTCCGCGGTAATTGTAAAATATCACAAATTATTGCTTATTTATAAACACAAATTGCAAACAAAAGTTTGTATGTTATTCATCCAGCTATCAATTCACAATAAAGGTATGTCACACCATCGTAATGGAAAGCAAAAGCGATTTAATTTACGTATGCCAGATTTCTGTTTTTAAACGGTGATAGATCCCGTAGCTCTATGTTCGACGTACAACTACAAAATTAAAAAAAAGACGTCCAAATGAAATTGTTAGGGCGAAATTCGATTGTAGGTCGCACCAAAGAGCTACGGAACCGCAGCTAGTCTATTTATAGAATGTCGACCTGCAGCCGTGTCAATGAGATAATATCCTGTTAATCGGTGGGAGGAACAGTAGTTCGGCTCCGAAAGAATGCTGTCGCGTAAACGTAGCAATTATTTTTATCCACCGGGTTACTAATTAACCGTGTCCGAACGTTTGCACGAGTATTTACTGCTGAAACCACTGAACTGTTTTTTCAGCCGCTGAGTCGCCCCAACTGCGCAACTGCCAGGCCTGATGAATTGGATGGCTGTCACGCAACTAATCACTCGCTGTCATCCAACTTTTTAAACGAAAAGTCAACGCGCCCACTGACCCAATATGACCTACAAACCAAACCAATCAAATACGCGGAACAGTCGAGCTCAAACTTTCGTTCTCGATGTTTATTACTAGTATGTAAATTAACTGACATGCCTACATTGCGTTGCATGGTTAGTTTAATGTATTTTTAGAACAGAAATGATCAGAAGTAGATGTAGAAGGTCGGTTGTATCGCAGAGGGGTGAGAGCTTCGCCAGAAATACATGACATGGTGATCCAAGAAATATTGAACAGTGGTGGCGATCCAATAACCGGACGATTTGGGAATTTCACGCCTGTGGCCGACAAATTTAAAATGTCTGTTCCTGGTGTTCGCAAGATAAGGAGCCGATTCATTGAAGGAGATCGAAACGTTACAAGGGGATCGTTCTCGAGAATTGACGAAGAACACAAGAATTAATAGAAAAGATGAAACAACAACAGCCATCAACTACATATAAAGTTATGAAAGACAAAATAGAACTTGAAGAATATAGCAAAGTCCCCGGTGGCGTGTCTAAAAGCGCGATTGCACGAATAGTGAGAACCAAACTTACGGGAGGTGCATGGACATTCAAAAGGTTAACTTCAGTAGCGAGGGAAAATTTTACCAAAGGTAATATTGCTTACTGCAACGAGTTTGTCAATTTTCTGCACACCATTGAAGATACAGTTTTTTGACAGTCAGCAAAGATATGAACCCGCACTTCGGCCACGCTCTCCGAGGTGAGCGTGCAGTCGAAATACAAAGCTACACGAAATCGACAAGCGTGACTTTGCACCTTCTGTGCAACTTGGAAGGTATTACGTATTTCAAGGTGTTCAGCCACAGTCAGCTGGCGCACACGTGATAATAAATAAATACGATATTTACTATATGAGGGCCGCCATCTTGAATGACGCATAAAACTAAATAAGAGACAAGTTGTGAAACGCGTTTTTCAGATTCCTACAAATCTGGACAAAAATACCAATCTTTCACAGAAATACGATCCATTGGGATAATATTAAGCCAGCCGATAACAAAATTCGGCCGAATTCGTCGTAACCGAGCGACCAGTGCTGGAATATTTATTTATTTATTTATTTATTTATTTATTTACTTATTGACTCTTACACAATCCCCGGAGGGAAAGAAAATGGTCACAAAGTACAAGGAGAAATATATATATATAAAAAACAAAACAAAAACACAATATACTAAATAACAAATAACAAATACAATCACTAAATTACTAAATAATACAAAATCTCTAAAATACAATCTAATATAAAATTACAAAATTGACAGCAGGCATTAAGATGTCAAGTAAGACCCTGCTTCCTGACTTCAAAGCTTTTACTTATGAACTGTGCTACTGGTATAATAATGTTTTCATTCTGTAACAATTCCATGAATTTTTTCTCTGCAGGTTTATTTTCAAATGCTGGGATCATATCCTTAGCTTTATTGAACAGTTTGGCACGCAACTCATTATATTTGTTGCATTCCAGCAGAAAATGCATTTCATCCTCAATTAGACCTTTGTTACACATGTCACAAACCCTGTTGTTTAGTGGGATTTTTTTATGACGACCCATTTCAATTTTGAGACTATGGTCACTAAGACGGAATTTGGTAAGCACACTACGCAGTTCAAAGTTTTTTAGCTTGACTAAATATGGCTCAAGTTTTAAATCTGATTTGATTAGCCGATATGTTCTTAGTTTGTTTTTCTCATTTGCTTTGGTGCGGTTATC